TCTGTTGCACCTTTTCTATGTTTAGACGCCTTTAGATACACAAATACTTACTGTTGTGTTACAGTTGCCTACAGTGTTTAGTACATTAACATGCTGTATAGGTTTGTAGCCTAGGAGCAATGGGCTATATCATATAGCCTAGGTGTGTAGTAGGCTATACTATTTAGGTTTGGGTAAATTTACGATGTTCACACATGAGGAAATGGCCGAACCCTGCATTTCTCTGAACATATCCCAGTCATTAAGCAATGCATCACTGTATTTCCGTTTTATCCCCCCTTTCTGGATCTAAGAGAGATCTCCTCTCGAAATTGTTGTCTAGAGGGGACGGTTAATAGGCACAAAAATACAGTTAGATAGAAGCAATAAGATCCAGTGTTTAGGGCTGGGCGCAGTGGCTCACACCTGTAATCCCAGCACTTTGAGAGGCCGAGGCGGGTGGATCACAAGGTCAGGAGTTTGAGACCAGCTTGGCCAACATGGTGAAAGCCCGTCTCTTAAAAAAAAAAAAAAAAAAAAAAAAAGGATCCAGTGTTCAGTAGCACAATAGGGTGATATAGTTAACATAAATTATTGCATATTTCAAAATAACTAAAGGAGTAGAATTGGGATGTTCCTAACACAAGGAAATGATACATGCTTGATATGACAGATACTCCAATTACCGATTTGATCATTATACATTTCGTGCTTGTCTCAAAATATCACATGTACTCCAAAAATACGTACAACTATTATGTATCCATAATAATTAAAAATAAAGCTTTTTTTTTGTTGTTGTTGTTGTTGTTGTTGTTGAGACAGTTTCACTCTTGTTGCCCAGGCTGGAGTGCAATGGAGTGATCTTGGCTCACGGCAACCTTCGTCTCCCGGGTTCAAGCAATTCTCCTGCCTCAGCCTCCCCAGTACCTGGGATTACTGGCATGCGCCACCATGCTCGGCTAATTTTGTATTTTTAGTAGAGATTGGGTTTCTCCATGTCGGTCAGGCTGGTCTCTAACTCCTGACATCAGGTGATCTGCCTGCCTCGGCCTCCCAAAGTGCTGGAATTACAGGTGTGAGTGACTGTACCCGACCAAAAATAAAGCCTTATTTTTTTTTTTTTTTTTTTTTTGAGACGGAGTTTCGCTCTTGTTATCCAGGCTGGAGTGCAATGGCGCGATCTCGGCTCACCACAACCTCCGCCTCCTGGGCTCAGTCAATTCTCCTGCCTCAGCCTCCTGAGTAGCTGGGATTACAGGCATGCGCCACCACGCCCAGCTAGTTTTTTTTGTATTTTTAGTAGAGACGGGGTTTCACCATGTTGACCAGGATGGTCTCGATCTTTCGTCCTTGTGATCCACCCGCCTCGGCCTCCCAAAGTGCTGGGATTACAGGCTTGAGCCACCGCGCCTGGCCAAGCCTTTTTTTTAAAATTAAAAAATAAACTGGCTGCCTGTAGTCCCAGCACTTTGGGAGGTCCTGGCAGGAGAACTGTTTGCAACCAGGAGTTTGATCTCAGCTCACTGCAACCTCCTCCTCCTGGGTTCAAGTGATTCTCCTGCCTCAGCCTCCTGAGTAGCTGGGACCACCATGTCCACCTAATTTTTGTACTTTTAGTAGAGACAGAGTTTAACCATGTTGGCCAGGTTTGTCTCAAACTCCTGACCTCAAGTGATCCACCCGCCTCGGCCTCCCAAAGTGCTCGCATTACAGGTATGAGCCACTGCACCTGGCCTCTGCATGGTATTTTACAGCAACTGCCTCTATACTAACAACCTGACCTGATCCACCTGCAGCCCTCAGTCCACTAACTCCTGTAACTAGTAGAATTCACTTCCCTCATTCACTAGCTGTTGCTAGCTAAGTGTCGCCTGATAGGATGCGATGCCAAACTGCTAGGTTTTGTTTGGGAGACAGGGAAGGAAATGCCAGAGAAAGGCAGTAATGACTCAGAAGTGAGTTTAAGATGAGGGCTGTGATATCTTGGGGTGGGAGGTGCTGAATTTCTTGTGTGTGTGCGTGTGTGTGTGTGTGGTCAAATGCAAACTTAGGCGGTGAAATCATTAAGTCTAGAAGTTCCCTGAATCTGGGGTGGGGCCACACAAGGGATTCCCTCCTTTTCTCCCCAGAAATAGGATGTGGAAGGCCAGTTATCTTGATCCCACAACTGGGGCCCTCCCATCCCTTGGTGTTCTCCTCTGCCCCACCCCCATGCCACATCATCACCTCCCACCCTGGCACTGGGGAATATAGCATCCCTGCCCCATGGCCCCTCCAGAGAACTCACACCATCCCAGGAGCATTTCTCTAAATCTCTGTCTCTTTGCCTGGCCACTCAAGCATCGTCCCTCTTCAGCCGGACTTTACCATAAATGCTGCTGTCCCCAATCTTCCCTAATAGGCCTGCCAAGGCACAGAGCTATTTTTACCTCCTTCTCTTCTCAGGCCTGCAGACCTCAGGGAGGAGCAGGAGCAGCCTCTGCTTTCCTCCAGCAGCCGGATCCCCACCCCATCGTCCCCACCTGGAACATCTGCTCTGCAGCTCAGGGAGGTTCTGCATTCCCTAGCCCCACCCCATTTGCTGGAATCTTTTCCTTACCTCTGAATTCCTAGGTTGGGACCACTTTAGCTCTGAGTTATTCCCCCTGTGAGTTTGAGGACTCCATTTGAGCTACTCTTAACTCTGTCGCCTACTGGCCTTGGTTTAGTGCAGATGCATTTGAAGCCACCTGTGATTAGAACTTATTCCCGGCCAGGCGCGGTGGCTCACGCCTGTAGTCCCAGCACTTTGGGAGGCCAAGACGGGTGGATCACGAGGTGAAGAGATCGAGACCATCCTGGTCAACATGGTGAAACCCCATCTCTACTAAAAATACAAAAAATTAGCTGGGTATGGTGGCGCATGCCTGTAATCCCAGCTACTCAGGAGGCTGAGGCAGGAGAATTGCCTGAACCCAGGAGGCGGAGGTTGCGGTGAGCTGAGACCGCGCCATTGCACTCCAGCCTGGGTAACAAGAGCGAAACTCCGTCTCAAAAAAAAAAAAAAAAAGAACTTATTCCTTCCCACCCCCCGAAATACAGACACATCCCTGCAGATTGCTAGAGAGTGCATAACAGAGAGATGCCACTGGCCTCTGCAGAGAAGTCTTTCTCCCTCCATACCTTTCCTTCTTCTCTCAGAATCTCCATCTTTGGCAGAGGGAAGTTTACCTCGAGACCAAGAGCATTCCCAGGTTTTATGGTCTGGGACAGTTAGAGTGAGAAGGGTCACCTCTCTGGCTCTTCATGGTGACCCTTGGCCACACCAGCCTCTGGAGGAAATATAGAGCTGACTTGCTGTCCCAGACCCCTGTCTGTCTGGTTCCCCTCCTCTCTGTGTCTCCCGTACTAAGCAGGTCTTTTAAAAAAACTGTCAAAAGCTCCCCTCTCGTCCTGCTTCCTCCAAGCAGTTAGACTGAGTGGAAATAGCTCAGGACAAACTTTTCTATCCAAATAGTGCTTAAGTAGGGGAAGCAAAGCTCTTTAAAAGCCACATATATGCGCCTCGGAGGAGGAGTTCCTCCGAGGAGGGTGGGGAGGTGGACAAGCGCCATTTCTGCCCGTCTTGCCACCTCAGATAGCTACCGGCTGATTCACTTTTCTGTCTCTGCTCTTCGCAAATACTTGTCCCGATCTGCATCTATCTCAACTCCTCCTGGGGAGAACAAGCCAGGGACCCCCTCGCCTCACCCCAGATGGTCACTCAGAACTCGGCTTTACCAGGCCGCAGAGCAGTCAGGGAGCCACGGCTCCAGGAGAGGGATCTTCTAACTTGGAGGGTGTGGGAAGTTCAGCCTCCTTTTTCTTTCCATTCCCTTCCGCAGGGAGAGGAAGGCGAGACGGTAGCGTAGACCAACCCCGTGCCCCACACGATCCCGCTTCCCTGGGGTTAGGAGCATCAGCCGGTATTTGGGAGGCCGGGAGGAGACAGGCTGGAACCCTTCCCGCCCAGCGCAAGAGCTCATCCCCGATGGCACCGCGGAGGCGGCGTGGAGAGGAGCAGCTTAGAAACCCGAGACTCCCAGGTTTATTAGGGGTTACGATCCAAAAGCTACATTTTTATCTAAGCGGGAGGAATGGGGAGAGGTGCAAAGAAAGCAGCCGGGGGGGCGCCAGCCTCCCCCCGCCGGCTGCTCTGCCGCGCCCGGCCCCCGCCCCCGCAGGCATGCAGGGTGATTCACCAAGCCCAAACTGCGCCCAAACCGCCGGACCCCGGCTGTCCACCCCCTCCACCAGCCCCTCTTGCAGTCCTAACGCCCCCTTTTCCCCGCCCAGCCCCGCCCGCTTCCAGGAGGCCCAGGGTGCCCGAGCGCCGCGGGTGAGGGTGTTCTCAAGGCCCTGAAAGTGTCTGGAGGGCAGGAGCAGAGCGCAGCGAGGGGACGGAGTTGGGCCGCCGAGGCCGATGGGGGGACGCTGGGGCGCAGGGTCGGGGGAGGAGGTTGGCGGTCGCGTCCCACGCTTGGCGCAGCCCTCGCGGGTGCGTGCCTGAGTCCTGAATCACTCGCTATATCAGGCCCGCAGGCACGGAGGCCCCAGGCCCGGGCCCCGCAGCGTGTCCGCCCACGGCGGACCCCAACGATCGCCCGGGACCCCTGACTTTCCTAGAAACTTCCCCCAAGGAGGAAGACGTCTGACAGAGCCAATTAGGGAAGGAGCAGTCTGCTAGGGGCAGCGTCCTCGAGTCCACACCCTAATTCGGTTCTGCTACTAGTTTGAGACCGGAGAGGATCTGAGTGGGGAGGTGCGGGGTGCAGAGCGCGCCCCTCTACGCGCCCCTGGAGTCTGCCGCTCCCTCCACCCCACCCCACCCCACCCAACCCCACCCCAGCGGCGCTCGCCGGAAGGAGGGTGGATCTCCCGGGTGCCCGGGCCAGGCTGGGAGGACAACCGCGCCACGGGCAGGTCTCCAACCCAAATCCCAGTCTGGGGACGCGAGCCGGGCGCGGGAGCTCTGGGCGCGGTCAGCCCGGTGGGCTCACCTGGTAGATCATGACTTTAAAGTTGCGCCGCCGCAGCAGTTCGGCCTCGTTGACCTCCAGCTTCTTGATCTGCCCCGCCTGGCGCTCCAGGCTACCGCGCACGGTCTTCACGTTGACGCTGACCTTGCGCACCTTCTCCAGCAGCTTGCTCACTGTGTTGCTCGTGGTGGCGTGCGCCTTGCCCAGCTTGCTCAGCTCGCCCTGGATGCTCTGCACGGCGCCCTCCATCTCCGCCTGCCGCTCCTCCAGCTGGGCTTGGGTCAGCTGGATCTGGTCTACGGCGCCGATGATTTTGTCCAGGAGACTCAGCACCAGCACGCCGTTCACCTGGTCCGACTTGATCAGCTCTTCCGAGCCGGCCCCCGACGGCTCCTCCGCCGCCTGCGCCCCAGCGTGGACAGGCTCCGGGGCCTCGGCGTCGGGGTACCCGGGAAGCGGCCGCTCGACGATATAGAGCGAGACGTCCTCCATGGCTACCCGGAGCCGTGCGGGGCCGGCCGGGTGGAGCTGGAGCTGGAGCGGGAGACCCGGAGAGAAGGAGGAGCGGAAGGGGGGAGAGCGAGCGAGCGAGAGCGGAGAGCAGAGGAAACTCGAGCCACGTCCGTGCGCACCGGGACAGCGGCCAGAACTGCTGGGCGGGGAATCGGTGAGCTCCGCGGCTCTCGGGCCAAACTCCGGAGTCTGGCCGCTTATTGGCTGGCCCCACCCCAGAAAGGGAGGGACCGGGGCAGAAGGGGAGACCGATGAGGGGGGCCGGCGGAGGGGGACCCAGGAGCCGAACGCCCCACCCTTCCCTGGATGGTTGGAATAGTTGGAGCGGGAGACTAGGGCCTCCGCTGGCGGCGGGAGCGGGACGGGCGGAGGAATGCGAGCTGAGGAAGGGAATCAGGTCCTAAGAGTGTTGCTCTCTGTTTCCCTCTCGCTTGAACTGCTCATGCGAAAATCCTCAAGATCTGGGAGTCGGGTGCATCAGGAGATTCTGAAATTATAGGCGAAATCTTGTATTTGCCTGTGACTAGTTTTTGAGCGCAAAAGGACCCTTGCCCTTTACAGTCTTTTCAAAGAGGCCTTTCCGATTTCCTCTTCACCAGCCCCAAGCAGGTTACCAACCTAGGGGTAAGTTTAAGGGGTTGTTTGTGGCAGGGAAGGAAGAGAGAACTTGGGGTCACGGTGGTGGTGAGGCGCTGCGAAGCTCCTCTGAGTTCCTTTTAGAATTGTCCTAACAAAGTAGAATTAAGATGGACAATCAAATAGAAAGTAAAGCCCACCCACCAACCCCCCTCTTTGAGACAAGGTCTCACTCTGTCACCCAGGCTGGAGTGCAGTGGCCCAATCATGGCTCACTGCAGCCTCGACCTCCTGCGCTCGAGCAATCCTGCCACTTCAGCCTCCGGTGTAGCTGGGACTACAGGCATATGCTACCACGCCCAGCTAGTTTTTTCAATTTTTATTTTTTTAGAGACGGGGTCTACACTATTTTGCCCAGGCTGGTCTTGAACTCCTGAGTTCAAGTGATCTGTTGACTTCGTCCTCCCAAAGTGCTGGAACTACAGGTGTGAGCCACCGTGCCTGGCGTAAAACCCTTTTTAAAAACTCACCTCTCTTAGGCAGGGCAAGGTGGCTCACGCTCATAATCCCAGCACTTTGGGAGACCGAGGCCGACGGATCACCTAAGGTCAGGAGTTTGAGACCAACCTGACCAACATGAAGAAACCCCGGCTCTACTAAAAATACGAAATTAGCTGGGTGTGGTGGCACATGCCTGTAATCCCAGCTATTGAGGAGGCTGAAGCAGTGAAATCGCTTGAACCTGGGAGGCAGAGGCTGCAGTGAGCTGAGATTGTGCCATTTCATTCCAGCCTGGGCAACAAGAGCAAAACCCTGTCTCAAAAAAACAAAACAAAACAAAAACCTACCTCTCATCTCTCTCCAAAAATCACCTTTCCCTGTGTTCCTCCTCCAACACCCCTCAGCAGCAGCTGACACCAATCTCAGTGAGCAGGATCTAGGAGTCCATTCCTCTCTCAAGATTCCAGGAACTAACATTAAGCCACCAGAGAGACCATCAAATTCCACCTCCTCATTTGACAGACAGGAAAAGGAAAGCCTGCAGAAGACAGGTGGCTTGCCAGAAGTCACTTGCAGGTTAGTGTTGGCACTAGCACTGGAACCCAGGTCTGTGGACTCCTGCTTTGATGCTCTTTCCTCCCTAGCACTCTGAGCCTTCCTCTGGGGCAGGGAGACAGGTACCCATGGCCACTCCCCAACACCCATGTACTGTTTCGGAGGATTAACCAAAGCATATTTTCTTTCGTTGTTTTCTTTTCCTTTTTTTTTTTTTTTTTGAGTTCTTTCTTTTTTTTCTTTTTCTTTTTCTTTTTTCTTTTTTTTTTTTTGAGACGGAGTTTCCCTCTTGTTACCCAGGCTGGAGTGCAATGGCGCGATCTCGGCTCACCACAACCTCCGCCTCCTGGGTTCAGGCAATTCTCCTGCCTCAGCCTCCTGAGTAGCTGGGATTACAGGCACCCGCCACCACGCCCAGCTAGTTTTTTGTATTTTTTAGTAGAGACGGGGTTTCACCATGTTGACCAGGATGGTCTCGATCTCTCGACCTCGTGATCCACCCGCCTCGGCCTCCCAAAGTGCTGGGATTACAGGCTTGAGCCACCGCGCCCGGCCGTTTTTTTTTTTTTGTTTTTTTTTTTAAGAGATAGGGTTTCACTATATTGGCCAGGCGGGTCTTGAACTCCTGACCTCGTGATCCACCCACCTTGGCCTCCCAAATTGCTGGAATTACAGGTGTGAGCTGCCTCGGCCGGCCCCAAAGCATATTTTCATCTATGCTGGGTACAAGGGAGCAGGCAATTCTGAGCAGCCCCAGGAAGATCCTTAGTGCAGAAGTCCGGAAAAAGGGAGGCTGCTCATCCTCCCCCATTTTTCTGTCTAGCACAGCACTGGGACTGTGAGTCTCTGGAGTGGCGCCAACTCCCTTTCCCACAGAAAAGTGGCAACCCTTTTCCCTGCTTAGGAAACCACACTGGGGTTTCCCCAGCTGGACAGATGATGGTTCTGGCAAAAGGTCACTTCTAGTCTGGTATGCATTATCATTAGGAAGAGTGAAAAGTTGCTCTATGGGGATCCTGGGCCTCCTCAATCCAGAGAACCCACCAACTCAGAAAGGATCCCGACTCTGCAGTAAATGGGTTGGTGCCCTAAGAACATTTCTGTTTGTTTTTTTTTTTTTAGGGTTTACAACACCATATATGTTAGCCGAAATTCTCACAGAAAAGGGAGCCATCAACTAGGGCTGTTTATCAGGTTATCCTGAAGTACCCTTTCTACTAGAAACGCAAGATACATGCTGGTGACCTCCTTTTTTTTTTTGAGACAGAGTCTTACTCTGTAGCCCAGACTGGAGTGCAGTGGTGTGATCTTGGCTCATTGCAACCTTTGCCTCCTGGATTCAAGAGATTCTCCTACCTTAGCCTTCTGAGTAGCCGGGATTACAGGCATGCGCCACCATGCCTGGCTAATTTTTTGTATTTTTTTTTTTTTTAGTAGAGAAGGGGTTTCACTGTGCTGGCCAGGCTGGTCTCGAACTCTTGATCTTGTGATCCGCCCACCTTGGCCTCCCAAAATGCTGGGATTACAGGCATTAGCCACTGCACCCAGCCTCTTTTTTTTTTGACACAGGGTCTCACTCTGTGGACCCTGCAACCTTGACCACCCTGGTTCAGGTGATTCTCCCACCTCAGCCTCCCAAAGAGCTGTGACTATAGGTGCACACCACTGTGCTGGCTAATTTTTGTATATTTTTTGTAGAAACAGGTGTTTGCCACTGGTCTCAAACCCCTAGGCTCAAGGGATCCATCTGCCTTGGTCTCCCAAAATGCTAGGATTACAGCTGTGAGCCACTTCGCCTTTCTGGTTTTTTCCAACTTTTTTTTTTTGAGACAGAATCTTACTCTGTCACGCAGACTGAGTACAGTGGCTCAATCACAGTTCACTGTAGTCTGGACCTTCTGGGCTCCAGTGATCCTCCCACCTCGAAGTAGCTTAGGCTACAGGTGTGCCACCACACCAGGTACCCTAACACTTCAATAACTGTTTCCTCACAAATAAATGGCTTTCTCATTTGAGGTTCAAGTAGAATGAAGCTGGTATATCAGATAAATATATGAGGCCGGGCACGGTGACACGCCTGTAATCCCAGCACTTTAGGAGGCTGAGGTGGGCAGAGCACAAGGTCAGGAGTTGGAGACCAGCCTGACCAACATGATGAAACCCCGTCTCTGCTAAAAATACAAAAATTACCTGAGCATGGTGGTGCATGCCAGTAATCCCAGCTACTCAGGAAGTTGAGGTAGGAGAATTGCTTGAACCCAGGGGTAGAGGTTGCAGTGAGCCTAGATTGTGCCACTGCACTCCAGCCTGGTCAACAGAGACTCCATCTAAAAAAAAAAAAAAAAAAAAGATCATATATACACATATAAATGCCAGAACTGGAAGATTACCAACTTATTTTAGAATTTAAGAGAAATGTATTATAGTGATTTAAATTGCTTCTATTAAGGATTGAAAAAGCTTTTGGAACAAAGAAGAATGACAGTAGAGAACCTTATGGGACCTTCATTTTGCAACCTCTGACTCCTGAGTTTAAGCAATTCTCCTGCCTCAGCCTCCCAAGTAGCTGGGACTACAGGTGTGTGCCACCACGCCCAGTATTTTTCTTTTTTCTCCAGACGAGTTGCTCTGTCGCCCAGACTGGAGTGCAACGGCATGATATCAGCCAACAGCCACCTCTGCCTTCTGGGTTCAAGCAATTCTCCTGCCTCAGCCTCTCGAATAGCTGGGATTACAGGTGCCACCACACTCCACTAATTTTTTTGTTTTGTTTTGTATTTTTAGTAGAGATGGGGTTTCACCATGTTGGCCAGGCTGGTCTTGGGCTCCTGATCCACCTGCCTCGGACTCCCACAGTGCTGGAATTACAGGCGTGAGTTACCGTATCCAGCCAGAGCCTTCATTTTTTAAATGTCCGATAAGGTCCTTAATTATTGTTATTATTATTTTAGGCAGAGTCTCACTCTGTCACCCAGGCTGGAGTGCAGTGGCATGATCTCAGCTCACTACAATCTCCACCTCCAGGGTTCAAGTGATTCTCCTGCCTCAGCCTCCTTAGTATCTGGGATTACAGGCACCCGCCACCACAACTGGCTTTTTTTTTTTTTTTTTTTGAGAAGGAGTCTCACTCTGTTGCCCAAGCTGGAGTGTAGTGGCATGATCTCTGCTCACTACAACCTCCTCCTCCAGGGTTCAAGTGATTCTCCTGGCCTCAGCCTTCTGAATAGCTGGGACTACAGGCGCACCCTATCATGCTTGGCTAACTTGTGTGTGTGTGTGTGTGTGTGTGTGTGTGTGTGTGTGTGTGTGTGTTCTAAGATGGGGTTTCACCTTGTTGGTCAGTCTGGTCTTGAACTCCTGACCTCAGGTGATCCACCTGCCTTGGCCTCCAAAGTGCTTGGATTACAGGCATGAGCCACCACACCCGGCCAATTTTTTTGTGTTTTTAGTAGAGACGGAGTTTTACTATGTTGGCCAGGGTAGTCTCGAACTCCTGACCTCATGATCTGCCTGCTCGGGCCTCCCAAAATGCTGGGATTACAGGCATGAGCCCAGCAGATTATTATTATTCAAGGTCCATTGATTAGATTATTTTATCGAGTGACATTAAAGACACAAATTGCAGATAGCACACAAAGAAATACAGTTACTGGTTGCTGTTTCTTTTCCAGAGGACTTTAATTATTACTATTTACTATTTGTTTTTTTGAGGTGGAGTTTCACTCTTGTTGCCCAGGCTGGAATGCAGTGGCACCATCTCA